CTACTAGTGTGAAAGTAGTTATTACCACTGTTCTTACTACGATCAGTCCTATTAAAGTTGCTACTGACTGCCCTGCAGTCATAGAGCGCCTCCACTTTCGAGGCTTCTGCAGAAGCCAAGGTGAGACCTGAAGTGACGCCATTGGGTTTAGGGTGCTTAGGGTTTAGGACTATCACTATGGTTGGAGTGATTAGCGTTCTTTTGCTTATTGGTATTGTCCCCCGTCAGTCTTCTGAGTCTGATTCTCATTATCATTAGAATTGTCTTGTTGTCGATGTTAATACTTATGTTATTGTGACTACTACGGTTTTTGTTGCTTTTGTACTAGTACTAGTACTAGTACTAGTCGTAGTAGTAGTAGTAGTAGTAGTAGTAGTAGTAGTAGTAGTAGTAGTAGTACTAGTACTAGTACTAGTACTAGTACTAGTACTAGTACCAGTACTAGTACTAGTACTAGTACTAGTAGTACTAGTAGTACTAGTAGTACTAGTAGTACTAGTAGTACTAGTAGTACTAGTAGTACTAGTAGTAGTAGTAGTAGGAGTAGCAGTAGCAGTAGCAGCAGTAGTAGTAGTAGTAGTACTAGTACTAGTACTAGTACTAGTACTAGTACTAGTACTAGTACTAGTACTAGTACTAGTACTAGTAGTACTAGTAGTACTAGTAGTACTAGTAGTAGTAGTAGTAGTAGTAGTAGTAGTAGCAGTAGCAGTAGCAGTAGTAGTAGTAGTAGTAGTAGTAGTGGGGTTGTGACTCATGGCCCTCCCTCCCCCGCGCCCAGCCCTGATGCCTGCAGAGGATGGAGTGATGAAACAGATAATTAATGAAGATCTGATTCGGCGAAATCTGGCAGACGATTCTGCGGTTCAGAAATTTCTTTATGCTTTGGGCTTTCAGCGTTCTAGCCTTGATGTGTTGACTTAAGAAGTTGATGTGGAGGGTTTAAGGCTTCACGGCTCCATGCTCCGGGGCGTGAAAAAGGATGACAGCAGCGACAAGAGATCCGGTTAGCCTATGTGTCAAAAACCCCCGTTTGGTACTACTGATAGTACTACTGGTAGTAATACTTATACAATAACCATGGCTACACTAATATTTAATGGTAGCAGTAAGAAATGAATTTCTCCACAAGACAAAAATGACACCGAGCCCCGAGGTCAAAACTACTGTGTTTTTCTGAACCCTGGAACCTTGCAGACGCTGAAACCCATGGCCCCAACATCCCTATGCAAAGGATTCATGGCTTGGCATTTATCACGGATTACGTTTTGGCTTTTTGGTTCAGGGCTTAAGGAGTAAAGGCCCCTACGAAATCCCGATGACACGCTATAAGACCCTATAGACCACCAATCAAGATAGCTCATGCAATATAGGCGTCTTAAACATTTCAGGGCGTTTTGGGCCCCTTGTTCTTCCTTGTGTCGTAAGGAAACCTCACCAGGGTTCCTGCCTGACCGGTTGTAGACCGGATCCACGAATTCATTACCCAAGATCACACCGGGCTGCGTACCTTCGGCTGCAAGCATAATGTCAGAATCGAGGTTTCTTTGAAGAATCCCAAGAGCATTCTATATATAGAGCTTATGGCGTGGTCGGAAGTGTGAGATCGGAGGCTTCCAGCGGTGCGTTGGGGTTCTGGGGTTGCCGGCTGGTGGATGTCAATGGCGCCAGTACAACTCCCACCAAAACCGAAGCCTCAAAAACATGTAACAACCCTAAACCCTAAGCCGAAGCCGTGAACCGAAGAACTAAACCGTGAAACCCCTAAACACCCCGCTTCGCACTTGCAAGACGAACGCCCCACTGGAGCTAAGAAGGTCAAAGTACGTTGAGCCGGGAATTCGTTGTGGAGTTCTACATAAGAAGGCTGTAAGGCTTCCAGTTCTGTACTGATTCTAGAGAGTTCTTGTGAGGATTTAGGATTTGGGGTTGAAGATCTCCGGTTTGTCAAATCAACGCTACAAAATATGAGATTTGTAAAATATAGTCTGCAATGTACAACAACATACAGCACACATTAAGATTCCGAGATTGGAAGACCAAGCAGCTCCACGAAAGGGAGAGCACACCCCCAAAACTGCAGACTTCTTCGCAGCCACGCCTGCTGCCACGATCTTGGCGATGGTAGCACGGTCTCGTCCCTGCGCATTTGCTGGCATTGGACTCCGCAGACTAATATGGAGGCATGAACAGTTATTGATACCATTCTGTAAGGTTCCTTGTGATTGTCGTATTGAAACGTGCCCAAAACCGCCCTTCTAATAAATAAGGCCACGATACTGGTTGTTCAGGCAACAGTCAGCTACGACTAATGGGCGCATCTATAAGCCATTACAAGAGTTCTCCCCTTAGGCCCCCCCAGCTACTTAGAAATACACCTAATGACGTAAAATACAACTCAAATCACTTAAAGTACATCCCCAAACCCTCTTCTGGTTCTCTATTCTGCTACAGTACGAGTGCCAGACCCGGTCGCCCCGACGCCTTCTCAGGTCCCAAGGCCCTAGGAAGCCCGGACCCAGCCCCTCTGAGATTTAGGGATTGGGGCTTTTAGGGCTTTTCTTTTTTTGGGATTCAAGGTTTAGGCTTTTAGTGTTCAGGGTGTAGGGTTTGGGGTCCAGGGTTTGGGGATTGAAGTTTGGGGTTTGGGGTATAGGGTGTGGCGTTTGGGGTTTGGGTTTCGGGTCTTGGGGTTTCCGCATTCTAGGATGCGTCCATGCGGTCACACGTGTGCCTCAATGATGCTGCAACTCAATGGCCTGATTTGGAAGAATCTATCCATACATACTTACAAAAACTGTATACCAACACAAATGCAATAGCGATCCCATGCAACCCTTCACTCTGCGGCAAAGCCCCTATCAGCCTAAACCCTATGCGCTGAACGAATCACTTCCGAAGCGCCAGCCTCTGAAATATAGACCTGGCATTCCGGAAGTGATGGCTTGAGGCTTCAGGCTGTTGGAACATTTGTTTGGATTTCTGGGTCTGCGGTTGAAAGGAGCTGAATAAAAGTGTTCCAGTTTCGGCTGTACGGCTTAACCTTAGCTTCAACAGTAGGGCTGCGAGCTTGAGAGTTTCACGGTGTTTTCGGGCTTCAACCCACCCTCAACGCTGCACGACACCCTACACCCCATACCCTGCACCCTAAACCTACCTAAACCCCAAACGAAAGTTACAGAAGGTAGGAATCCTAGTTGTAGTCTCTGGTGAAAAAATCAAAACCTCTTTGTTCACCCCTAATTCAGAAACCCGCCCTCAAGCTCCTCCAAAGATCCTACCGAACCCACATAAAACCTCCGCAACCCAAACAAGACTGTCGTAACACCCTATATATAAACCCCAACGTGAAAAAGCAGATCAATCAAGCAAGCATGGCATTCGCTGCCAGTGCGCGGCGCGAAAGACTTCGTCCAGCCATGTGCTGGGGACAAACTTAGAATACAGGCCTTGAAATTTCATTTAGAATCGGATACCGTGCGGTATCGTCATAAGAAGGCACGTATTGCTAATCATTCAAGCTTCCGTGTGGTTGGCTTCGGCTGGTTTAGGCTCAGAGATCGGGGCTTTTGGGGTGTATTGCCATGTAGCTGCAATGCTAAAGAATGAGAAAGTTTAAGTGGCAGCATGCCGAGGTTTAGGTGTTCAAGGTCCGAGGCTTTGGGCTAATGCTGGCGCCTTGGGGTGTCGCGAGCTTTTGGTGCTTCGAGCTGTAGGCTTTGAGCCAATCGGCAAGTCGTCGATCCACGGGCAGGAGAGCAAGACAGAACTCTGACTTCAGGCACGTTTGTCGCACTGGCACGAGGAAGATCCGGATCATGTGAAGGATGCTTTTGCAATCAGCTCGCGGCAAGGGCTTTTCGTCCTGGGACGCTCTGGCACTGAGTCCGCCGACGCCGCTGAATCTGCCAAAAAAAAAAGACCCATCGCGGGACTTCGACCTCCGATGTTCTCTCCTTTGGCAGCTCACTGTATGGCCCGACTCAGTAGATCCTCGATGTCCTGTCCACAGTCTTCATCAGTCTTCCAGAACGCGGACTCCAGGTGTCGCAGTAGCAGTCTGAGCCTCTGCACTGAGCTTCTCCGTACCATGGAAGGGCCCACTGAACATCTGCAAGGCGAGAGTGGAATCTTCTTCGCCTCATCTTCCATCGAAGCCACTCAGCACTCCTCCGTGAAGAAGGAGCCCCGCTTGCGTACTCGTGAGGCCCTGCACGGGATCCACCTCAGATTCCTTAGAGTTTGGCAACATGACTTTTCATGAGAAGTGATTAACTGGGCTTTGGGGTTTCAGTAGCTATACAGGGCATTACTGGTTTGTGTGGGTGTAGCCAAGAACCACATTATCAAGTCTCGCCCCTCCTAGAGACTTCAGGCCGTGTCGAAGGCCAGAGTGGAAACTCGAGCGTCCAGGTGTACCACGGCGGATACAAATCTTGCTTCGTGGTTGCCTGCTTTGGCTAGTGACTTCCGCAGCAACTTCCACGGGGACTCTGGCATCTTGTCCGGTGTACAGTACCAAGGCCTTGAACCCTAAACCCTAAATACCAAAGTAGTCAACAGATGCTGAGGCTACCGGCCCCGACCTGTGAGATCGGCTATAATCCCTACAGGTAACCCTAAATAACCTACAACCTACAACCCAAATCCCCAACACTATACTGACACCTTGAACCCCAAAGCCCCAAGTCCGAATCTCCTGCCAAAAGTGGATCTGAGCATGAGGGCAACTCGCCTTCTCTGCCAAGTTTGAGGGCTTGGGCATTTACAGTAGAAGCCAGAAAGTTCTGGAACATGGCTTTAGGAGGATTAGTGCTAGGATCCCTTATACTTTACCTTAAGGGCATGGGGATAATGATGTTCCAACTTTCTGGCTTCTACTCTAGGGCTTTTTGTTAGGGTTTAGCGTTTTGGCTTTCGGGATTGGGCCTAGGGTTTGGGGCGTCGCGGGCTCCAGGCGTCGTGAAGCCAAGGGTCCCGTAGTGCCAAAATGCCGCTTCTCAACCTCGGAGATCTTCCTGCCCGGAGGTGCGGGCAGATCACCCCGGGTGTAGGGTTTGGGGTTTAGGGCTTAGGGTTTAGGATTTAGGGTTTAGGGTTTGGGGTTTAGGGTTTAGGGTTTACGGTTTAGGGCTTAGGGTTTGGCGTTTAGGGTTTAGGGTTTGGGGTTTAGGGTTTAGGCTTGGGGGTTTAGGCCCGTAATCTCTTCCTTACTTGTCTCTACTCGGCTCTTCACCTCTCTCCCTCGGAAGCGACTCCTTCGCTTGAGCTATGTGGCTCCCCCTTTTCGTTTCGGGTTTCGGGGGGTGGGTAGGTGGAATGTAATGTAAGGTTTCAGGGTTTATGAGAGCTACTATTCACTGTTCAGCTATATTGAAATAAGGAACTTGTAAGACGTACACAATACGAGGTGCTGCTCTGCAACTAGACTGGACGCACCATACCGTGCTCCGTTTTGATGCGTTACAACGCGAATCGGCAGATGGAAAAGTTCATAGCTCCGGGAAACAAACTTAACTCAAACACAATCCGCAACCTTCATCACAGTCAAGACTCTTCCCTAAACTTTCCGCGACAACGGAAATTTTGGCCTCGGCAAGACGCTGAAGCGAGGCGCCCACAGACTCAGAGAGCCGCGAGATACGAGCCTCGTGGCACTGCTTGCGGAGAGCTTAGGGTTTAGAGAGCCGTGAAGGGTTCTATGGGCTACTAAACGGGGTTTAGGGATTCCAATACCCCTTATTTACGGTGGTGGGATCCCTAACATGATTTCGGACATAGTCCTCAGTTACGGTGTATTGGAAGGTCTGGGTAATACAGGAGCCTTATGAATTACAATAGGGTGTTGGGGAAGGAACCCCCAGAATAGTACTTGCAGCCCTTATAGTAACCCTTATATACCTTCTAAAGGAATCCTAGTCTAATTATCTGTTTATATCTAGTGCACCAAAAAAGCACATAAGCAAAAATTAGGATAGGGACATCCCACAAAAACCCCTTATGATGAAGCCCAATAAGGTAGGGATATCCGTATAAAATGCTTATGCTTATGTGCTTTTTGGCTCCCTGAATATCAACAGCAACAGCAGAAACAGATCGGCTCTGGGAGCTCCGGCTTCAGGCACTGTCGCCAGAGAGATGTAGTCAGAATGCGAGGTTTAGACGGTTTAGGGTGTTGGGGTTTAAAGGCTAGGGGTAAGTTAAGGGTTTATGGGGTTTGGGGGCTTAGGCGCTAAGGGGTTTAGGGGTTTAGGGTTTAGGGTTTCTGAGGGTACCCTAAACCCTAAAACCCTACTCATCTCTCCAGGGGCTGAGGGAAGGCGACCGAACGCTTTCGAGCTCAGGTTTGCTGACGGCAAGAAAGACTGCAAGAGCCAGACCAGGCAGAGACCTCATCGAAGAAGGAACGACTGCAGTCGGAACGAAAGAACTTGTGTTTGTAGCACACTAGCACTAGCAGCTCACAAGTAGTTTTTGTCGAAAGAAGCTACAAGAGTAGAAGGGAAACCCAAAGCATCAACTCCCAAATCTTAAACCCTACTTCTAAGCCCTAAACCTCTAAACCCCAAGCCCTGAACCGTTAAAGATGGAGAAACCAGAGCACCTCAAACTCCCCGCGCGGAAGCCGCGGCCGCAGGGACAACCTGGAACAAAAGCCGGGAGGGCGCTGGCCGGGAAGCTTCGGGTTTAGGGCTTAAGGGCTTAGGGGCTGAGGGGTTTAGAGGTTTAGGGGGTTTGGGGTTTTGGGGGTTTTTATGGCCTAGGGGTTTAGGGTTAAGGGGTTTAGGCGGTTTAGGCTTTAAGGGTTAAGGGGTTTAGGATTTGAGAAGGCTTCGGGTTTAGGGTTTAGGGAGGCTTGGGGCTTCGGGTTTAAGGATTTTGGGTTTAGTTAGGGTTTTGGGAGTTATGGCTCAATCTGGGGTTTGTGTTTAGAGTCTGGGGCTTGTGATTGTGACGACTGTGATCGAAACGAACTTGAGCATGCTTGTATATGATTATGTTTGATTTCTTAGATACCCGGAACGATGTGATAATGCTATGTGGTGCATACTGTGTTGCATATGCAGAGCTGGGACTGCTTGGCATGCTTTCACGATTTATGATCTACAGTGACATCACTATCATCAGCATCACTAGTGCAACTGTTGCAACTGTTGCTACCAGTGTTGTGATTAGGTGTAGGGCTTCAGCTTATCCTAGCTCACCTGCAACAGTGAGTGTCACCGCGACTAAAGATACTTGGGTAGTTTTCCAAACTCGGGTGCCTTTTGCGGAACCCAAAAGAAGGTGGCACCCCTGCCCTTATTTGGAAAACTACCCCTCTGGTGTGTTTCTGGAAAGCGTATAGGAACCCCAAAAAGGGACCCTAACTCAAAGAACTACCCACGTGAATCACCACCACCTCGACCGAGCCGGCAGGGGCGGTGACTCATCGCCTTTTGCAGACACATTTGCAGACATGGCTTTGTCTGGGCTTGTTTGGTGACACCATGGGGCCAAAAGCATTCCGGAAGATTTCCTGTTCCACAAGAGCCTCCAAATGCCAAGCCCTCCCAAGAAAAAGCTTTTGAGGTAGCAGGTTTTAGTCTTAGGGCTAGCAGGGATTCGGGGACGAGTCCAACTGCGATCAGGGATGGAAGGAGACCAATATAGCGGCCTTCATGATTATGGGGCCTATGATACTATGATTATAGTAAGGAACCCCATAATAGTATTGGTAATTTTGGGCCCCTATATTAAGCCTCTTCTACCCTACTCCTATCCCAAACCGCTAGAAACCTGACGCGGCCCTGACACCCCAATTACCCTGCCTGAAGGATCGAGATCTTTGATCTGCGGTGTCCTGGGTGAAAGACCATGTTGACATGCATGGAATCCATGGACCACTTCGGGGCTTCATGTTCAGGGCTTAGGGGTGGCCAAAGTTGGGTGCAGGGTCTAGGCATTCACGGGTTCGTGCTGAAGGCTAAGCCTTCAGCGACGTTTTCCTAGCCGGCGAAGAAAAAGAGTAAAGCAAGTTTAGACGCATAACGGGGTTTAATGGTTCGACGCCGAAGTGCAACCCGCTGAATTGGAAGCCTCTTCTGGTGTGTGTGTGTGTGTGTATATATATATATATATAAAGACTCAATTATTTGACCGGCTCAGGGCTTGGGTTGAGAGGTTAAGGACTGCGATGCACGGAAGCGTCAGAAGCTGAAGCTTGACGCCAAACTAACCCTACACCCCAAACCCCTAAACCTAAGCCCTTAACCCTAAACCCCTAAACCTAAACCCTAAACCCTACAGCCCACCCACGGAACTCTTGCCATGGCTCCCGTCTTCTTGCGTGAACTGAGAGCTCAGGCTTGCCTCACCAAGTCTCGCAGGGCTTGAGGACGTCCAAAGGAGTAAGTATGCCCATTGCAAGGTCAGAGTTAGGCTTGTGATAAAACGGCTGTAGGGTGTAGGTTTTCAGGCTCAAGTTTTCAGCTTCGGGGCTGAAAGTTTAGGCTTCGCGGTCCAGCTTTATTTCGGGGTTTTAGGTTCAACTTTTCAGGGTTGAGGGTGTCGGGTGGGACCGGGGCGGGGGATTGAATGGAAGGCCCCCCTGCAACCACCTCCAGATCCCGCGGCCAGTGGGCCACCAAGGAGGATGGTGCCATGACCTCAAGCAGGAAAGATTGTTCTGTAGGGTTGTGTTCCCGGGAGGTTTCTACTGAACAACTAAAGCCGGGGCCTTACTAGTTTCAATAGGCTTTTGTGCGCCTTATAGAATAATAATTGTAATAAGGAACCCTAAGGAGCAATATTGGTAATTATTTAGGCTTCTATAGTATGACATGACCCGGCTTTATAACAACTGTTGCTTCCCGAGAACCTCGTTGCCTCGGGGTTCTAGGGGCCTTAACAATTTGAATAGGGTCCCTTTAAAGGGGTTCCCTTTAAAGGGGTCAAAAAGGATTGCTACAAGGGGTATTATAGGGTTTAGAAAAAGGGCGGCATTAATAATTAGAACCGGGTTTTGGGGTATATTACCCTGTAAATATAATAAGGAGCCCCCAAAGTGGTATAGGTGATTGTTTGGCCCCTATAGTATCTTACAGGATGTTGGTGCAAAGCCACAATCAAGAATTGGGGCTGCAGGGCTGGCTCGTTTTAAAGGGGTTGACTCTGTTTAGGTTAGCATTTAAGTTTAGGCGAGCAGTCTTCTCAAGACATCCCCGGATGAATAAACTTACACAGGCCGATCTGCACCGCACGCAGCATGCTGGCCATGCGAACGCCTCATAGCTTTAGTTTGTGATTTGGTCTCTTTTCTTTTCAAGAAAGCCAGACGCATGTCACGTATGACAACTGTATTCCGTCACTCCTTCAGTCTGTCAAACTGCCGCTAGTGCCCCTTGGAATGAAATTATGCGATCTTCTACTTGCCCGCTATATATAGGGTTGTAGGCCCTATGCAACTCTCATCACACAGTCTCACCCGAAGCTCTGTCAGAATATGGCATTTTTTGGTCGTGAATCTTTCAGATGGTGGCAACTCGTGCAGGTGAATCATGAGCTTGTTCGATACAACCAATCCTTGCGGATTAGCTCCCAGGTGCAAAAATGCTATGAAGCTCTTCAGCGAGCCTGAGGTCTGTAAGGGGGGTAATAAGGCTTCTAATCACGGTTCGATATCTCAGAACTCTGGGAGGATCCGCTCAGGGTCCGGGTAAGGGTTTACGGATTAGGGTTCACATAGAGGCCGGAACAGTTACCAGTATTACTCCTCTCGGCCCTTCAATTCAATCTCACAGTACTAAGTCTTAAGATCCCTATCTTGGCTTTACTGGTACCCCCTCAAATATATCCTGTATTCTAAGGCCTTTTCATATCCTCTTCATGATGGGGGTCTTTGTGCCCGGACCAGACTTCTGGAAGGATCCAAAAAGAATTCGAACCTTATCCTGCCAAGGGGTAGTTTATCGGAAACCCCTTATCGGATCAGATAAGCTACCCCCTATCGGATCTACTTTCTGGGATCCTCATAGGGTCTGGGTGCTATTCAGTTCGCAGAAAGGAAGCTCCCAACATGGTATTACTGGGATGCTAAGTGCGAGACCTGCTGAAAAGGGATCCAGGCGAAGCTTTAAACCTTACAGCCAGCCTTTCCCCCTATACTATGTGGCTTCCTCTCCACCCAGTCCTCACAAAGCAGGTTTCAGGACCCTAAGCACCTCTTAGCAAAACTAAAGCCTCAGAGCCCATAAATTACGGGGATTTGTATGTTCTCCGACAACGTGACCCTTTTTCGAACAATTCGCACAACCACAAAACCCAAAACCCTGCACCTTAAACCTTACACCCCCCAACCCCAAACCCATGTTGTAATTACTCCAAGGACTGTCGGAACGAACAAGTCCGGCTGTGGGCTCCATCTCGGGCTGAGGGCGAGGGCTTACGTGGAGGATCATGGGACTTAGCAACTTGGGTTATCCACAAGGTTGCTATCGCCATACTTGCTTATTAACCCCATTAGGGTACTTAAGGCTGGGAGCTGCCATAACCTTGCGTACGTCGTCATGGGCCCCAACTTGTGTGGCTGTTCTAGCCTCTAGTGGGCCCTTAATGTTAAGGGTACACCTTTTTCCTACTATTTGGTTTTAAAAAGGCCCGAACCCAAAAAGAAAAAGTGCAAAAGGGTAGTACTGAGGAGGCTAGATTATGGCCCATTTACTGCCTTTTTACCTATGCTAGAATGAAGGTTTTCGGGCGTAGTAAAATCGAAGTATACAGAAGGGGCCTGAGCAATCACCTTTTTTACTGGGTGGTCCCTTATTATAGTCATAATATAATGGGCCCCAAAACCCTATTCTAATTGTTAAGGCCCCTATATTATGGAAACTTCAAGGGATAAGGCTACTCGTGCTCCAAACCCGTATACTTCACGAACCGCTTTACACTCTTCTGTGGTGCCCGTTTACCTGGCAAAGTTTGTGGGTCCTAAACTCCATCAATTTCCAGGCGAATCTAATGCAGCAGCCTTAAAATTGCAATAGGGTTTTGCTGGGGGGGGTTCCTTATGATAGATACAGTCTCAGGTGGCTTCGACAGGTCTCAGGGCAGCTATTCCTACTTCTCACAGGTCTACCCCCCCCCTCCCCCCCCTCCCCCCCCCCTCAAAAAAACCGCTATTGGAGGAAGGCTGAGCCCTCGGAGTTGACAGCTTGGGCCCATCGAGCCGTGCAGACACCCCAAGTAGCCATATTGGGTGGTTGTCAAACTTAGGGCCCCCTTTTGGGTACCCTAAACAATAGGCGCCGCAGTTTAATAGGGACCCAAAAAGGGACCCTAATTTCGACAGCCACCCATATGAAATCAAGAGCCCTGAAGCCGGAATCTCGGCCTCTCCTCCCGATGGGAAATTAAGCAAGAACTGACTCTTAACACCCCTCTCAAAGATACCCACGACCTAGACCAAAGAACATAAAGACAAAAACAACGACGTAAAGAGCCCCACAGGCGCCCCTCCAGGCTGGCCTGGCGCAGATCAGACCGGCGTCCCGGTCCATAGCTCCTCATGGCTCAAGGCGTCTGTGGCGATGGTACGATTTAGGGTTTAGGGTTTAGGGTTTAAGATGAGGATCTCTAGTAGTCGGCGTAGTGTGACGATGAAAATGACGATGACGACGGACCTGACGATGAAGATGGTGATGAATGTAGATGCCATTACAATAGTCATTGTTCTTCGGACTAGTATGATTCTTGGTCTTCTTATTCTTCTCATTATAACGATCATGATCTTTTTTGTTATGACAGTCAGCAGCAGCAGCAGCAGCAGCAGCAGCAGCAACTGCAGCAACTGCAAAACCAACAACACGGCTGGAAATGGCTGACAAGATCAGGATCTTATGCCAAATTCTGCGTGCGGTCGACCGCTGGAGCTCAGTTAGTTCATATTGGTTTCGGGTGTGGCGCAGGGTTTGGGGTGCCACGGTTCATGCGGGTTTCCGTTTGGGGTGATACCTTTACACTCATCCTCAGCACAACCCCAGGACTTGGTCGCACCCCTGCATATCGTCCCTGTGACGGCAATCCCTTCCCACAACCTTATCGCAAAAAGCTGCCAAACCTAAACAAGCTTAACAAATCCTCTAACCCCTAAGCCCAAAACCCTTACACCCTAAACCCTGAACCATGGGCCCAAAACCCTGAACCCTCAAATCCCACGAAAGCCCTTCTTAGGCCTCTGTGGTGGACTTCCCTCCATTAGGCCCGGGTCCACCTTGCCAGCTCTATGGACCCTCTTTTTTGTAGTTAAAGGCTGCAGGGTCTGGGGCTCAGGTTTTGGGGTTTGGAGTTGTAAAGGCGACTCAGGTTTTGGTGCTTTTTGGTTTAGGATTTAGGGGTCAGGGGAATTGGGTGTTTTAGGGTTTAGCGTTTGTTTAGCGCTTGTGCAAGGAATAGGCCCTACATCATCATGAGAAGCCCCTGTAGCTTCATGCATATTCCGAAAAGCAGGGTGGTATTGAGCTTTTCACGGTATTTGGGGGGAAAGCTGTCTGGTAAAGGTGCGAAAACAATCTTGGAAGGCTGGATATAATTGCTTGGGGCTTATGGCGAGGATCCGCTTTCTAGCATCGTATTGAAACTTGCTTATGCACCCTGGGATCGGTACAGGACTCGTAGGGTCCATTTTGTGTCCTAAGAGGAATTACAAGGGTTTCATATGGCTTCTAAGAATGCCGAGTTCTAATCTGACTTCTAGTCCGTAAACCCTAATCCCTAAACCCCCAACCCTAATTTCTAAGCCCAAATCCCTAAAACAAAAAACCCTCGACCCTAATCCCTAAACCCTCAACCCGTTTCCCTAACACCTTAACCCTAATCCCTGGAGCCCTCAACCCGAATCCGTAAACCCTCATCCCTAACCCCTACACCCTAATCCCTAAACCCTGAAACCCTCAACTTAATCCCTAAGCTCTCAACCCGAATCCCCCACACCTGAACCCCTAAACCCTAAAACCCTCAACCCCAATTCCTAAACCCGAATCCCTAAACCAACAACCCTAAGCCATCAACCCGAATCCCCATCGACCGGTCCCTGAGTCTTCTGCCAGCCGTGCCGGAGGATCGGAAGTAGCGAAGATCACAGGCTCCTGCCGACGGCCCCCACTTATGAGATCAGGGTTTCCTAGGGCTCTTTTAGGGCTTCTCGGTTTAGGGTGTAAGGTTTGTAGGGCTCTTGTAGGGCTTCTACACTAAGGGTTTATAAGGTTTGTTTCAGGGATTCATAGAAAGGTCTTCATACTACTTGTAACGGTTTCATGAGCCTTTGTAAAGGTATACGCAAGGTGTCCTCGGGGTGTCACACGGGCTCTACACGGATGGCTTCTAGGTGGTTGGAAACAGGGGTTCTACAGCGGTTTCGTGCGGCTTTAAGAAATGTGAAGGCTCAGGTAGACACCTGCTTGATAACCCCACTTTCCTTGAGGGCCTTACTTGTAGGACCATGGGACATAGTAATTGGGGCTATAAATAGGGTAACTACAGTTAGAAGTCAGAATTACTTACTAAGTCCCATGAACCTCCAAGTACTCTTTTGATCCGCAGTATCATCTACATCTCGGCCGATTTCTTGGAACGCCCCCTGACCCTCGAAGTAAGGTCCCAAAGTCGCCACACCCCCAATGAAGATATGGTTGTCAAAATTCGGGTGGGCCCCTACTATAGCGGCACCTAATATTTAGGGTGCCCAAAAAGGGGCCCTAATTTTGACAACCACCCATATGCTACCAGCTTTCAAGTAGGCTATACTCAGGATGAGTCACATTTTGGGCGCTTCTAGCCGCAAGCCTTCGCTGAGACAGATCCCAACTCCGAAACTTCAGGCCCTGGGGGCCTTCAGGGCTCCTTGGTTTTAGGTATCGTTGGGTTTAGGATTTAGGGTTTAGGATTTAGGGGTTTGGGATTTAGGGTTTAGGATTTAGGGGTTTAGGATTTAGGGTTTAGGGCTTAGGGTTTTTTTTTTTTTTTGAGCTCCTTTTCTCCAAGCCAGCAGGTTCGAAGAGGCTGTAAAGCCAGGACAACAGGACATATTTTCTGCCCCATTGGAAAGAAAACCCCTCAGGTGTCACCCTCATAGCCCTCAACGTCGAGCAAGGATGAAGCATCACACCATAGAGCAGGATCAGACCAGCCAAGACCATCATCCCCTGCTGCAGGTCGCACAGTCCACACTTCAGCCCTCAAACTGATCAGCAGGATCCGCTGGAAGCGGCCCCAAGGGAAACGCAGCCGCACCTGGCACATCCGGAGGCAGCACCGGCGCGACACCAGGTCCAGTCATGAGCAGATCGTCCATGGCAAGGTTAACCTGTGTCACACCAACCCCCGTAGACTGCTCGTCCGGCACTTCCGTCACCCCGATCGACTCATGCATATCCGGAGCTCTGTCACTTCCACCAATTTGACCATCTTCCTCCTGCCACGTTCCCTGCTCATGAAGTGCCTTGGCAGACCGGAAGAGTTCCAGACCATTTTCTCCGAGGGCTCGAGTCACTTGGGCATCTGTGGTGGTCCCCCCCAGCCAGCTCCGGTATAGATCTCCTTGAGGTACGGGCGAAAAGGGGAGTGTCGGCTGTGTCTCGGAGGCTTCGGATGCATGTTCCATCGCCCACTGGACTTGCATTAGCTCCACCACCTCTCGCCCATGGCTGGCTTGGATGGTAGCCAGGCTAATAGTGCCGTCTTGTAAGTCTCGCCGGAGTCGGTCGTATTGGTCAGGCCTCAAGGTGGGTTCCACAGCATTGCCTCCCCCTGCCCTCTCCCCAAGGGTAGGCAGCTGTAGTTCCTCTGGTGTAGATTGTGCCGGCATTGGCTCAGTTTCCACGTCACTCCCCTCCACGTCGTTCACCAGGCGGATGGCAATGTGGATCTCAGTGCTGTCCGTGGGTAGGGTGAGTCGATGTAGTACTCGGGGCGCATCCATGCTACCCGAGCTAAGCTCCACTTGGACGCCCTTCCGTTTTTGCCCTCGCTCGCCCTTCCTCATTGACTCCTCCATCATACGATCTTCCCACTCCTGGTAAGCTCGCCCTTGTTCTTTCTGGTTCTCCAGGATATGTTCACGTACCCGTTGTTCCTCATGGTGTTCCTCTTCTTCTCTCTGTCGTTGTCCATCATCCTCTTCAGGCATAGACACCCTTTCGTACTCAAGTTCACGGTCCAGCATCGCAGCCGGCAAGTCACCATGGAGCAGATGTGGGTCTGCCGTTTCTCCCAGCACAGGCGATGCCGGTGAGCTTGGCGGTGTAAGCGGTTGCCGATGTGGTACACACCAGGCGGGTCGTTGGCTGCATATTGGTACACCACGTTGTGATCGGGACCCAGTGGCCACCGGGAGGTACGGCTGGACCTTCCTCCAGAGTTCCATGACTGCACCCTGATTTGGACGACAGTCGCTGACCCTGCCCTTGCGGTCCTCAAAGGCCACGGTGAGTAGGGCCAGGAGGTCAGCGGCGCGTCCCGTAACGTGGCCCAAAACCATTCCAGCTCCCCAGTTGGTGCACTGCCAATCTAGCAACTTCAGTAGGAGAAGAGCCGTAGAGCATCTGTCCTCCTCTGTCAAATCCTCCAGTGCTTCCCGTAGGCCCCGAAGCACAGTGAACCATTCCCCGCGACCAGCCAAACTTTGCTGCATCAGTGCCGCCGTGTCCTCGTCGAGGGGCACCTCGACCTCCTCATTGTCACGCTCGTTGGAGCGTGCCAACTGCACCAAGTTTCCAACCACCTCCAAGATTCTTTGTGTCACCATTCCCAGGGATGCCAGGAACGTGATTCGGTCCTGCAGTGACAACCCCAGAAAGGTCTCCGAGATCACGTTGCACTGGTACGTGGTCGGAAAGGAATCTGCCGGCGCATCCTCATCCATGATGCCAAGCAGGATGAACCATAGATCACGCGCCTCTTGAGCTGACATGGGGGTACCCGGAGGCGGAGCAGGAGTCGTAGGTTCCCCAGATGGCCTCGGCCTGCTCTTAGCCTTCGCCCTTGGTTCAGTAGCTCCACTGCTAGAGTTTGCCGGTGTGCTCGGAGTGCATACAGTCGGGGCCGGGCGCGGCAGGGGGCCTCCCCTCCCTGTCTCCGTAAGACGTCGTACCTCCGTCGTGACAACAGTGGGGGTGGGCCTCCGGCGCCTCCGGCTTCGACTGCGGCTTTTAATCCATCGCTTCTTCAGCTTCGGTCTGTCCATCAGGAAAACCTCGTCAGAGTCAGCAGTGTCCTCAGCCTGGGTCAGGTCATACATGGGCACAACGTCCGCCTCCCCTTCCTGAAGTTCGCTCCATGTTTCATCCTCACATTGGGTGAGGTTCACAACATGGTGCTGCTGATCCCTGTGCCCATGCCCGAAGCCCTGGTCATTCGGGAGCAAGTTCACCGCAGAGGAGGCAGGATCGTGCACAATCCCGTCCTGGTTCCCGTAGTCCCCCACGCCTGCAAGCCCGATGCCCTCGAAGCTCACAGTCTCGGCACCCTCGACAACCATGAGGCCCTCACCCTCCGAAGTCAGGTTCACCACAAGGTTCGGTTGCACCTGTGCCACGTCTGTAGAGGCGGCCGAGGGCTCATCTTCGTCAGGCTCCCACGTAGTGAGGATTCGGTACAGGGAGGCCTCTTCTCCAATGGCCCAGTCGCAAATGTGGTCCGGTGGCTCAGTCCCCATGGTGTCCGCTGGGGCAGCCGCCACTTCGATCTCCCTTATGTACCCCATAGCCCTGCTCACATAGTTGCGAGTAGCTCTCGCTAGAACTCGTTGCCGGAGTAATTGGAACGACCAGCCATCATTTCCCTCAAGATGTGCCTGGCGGAGGTACCGTGTAACCCTTTGCATCCAGAGGACCTTTTTCTCGTGCTGGGTCAGCATGGGAGTGCTGCCAGCATTCATGTGCTGTTGCCAGGCCCTCTTTCCCATGGCTTGATGCACCCGGTAGTGCATGGATGGCAGCTCGTCACTCGACGAAGAAGAGGCACCCTCCACAGGGAGGTCGAGAATCGCCTTTACAACCTTAGGCAGTTCCCTCTTCCTGTTGAACTCCTTCCGTCGCACTCTTTGAGCTTCTGTCTCACGTTCGGCCGTCGCACGCAGGATCACAAGCTCGGTCGGTAGCTGGCCCGCTTGAGCTTCCAGCTGGGCTTGCTCCTGCGGGTAGAACTCCTCGAGGAACTCTTGGTGCAGGGCGTCTTCCACATACCTCGCCCACATCATTTCCTGGTCCTTAAGGGGTCGGACCACCGCTGTCGGGTCGAGGGTAGCCGACAGAGTATGCTCGAGGTCTGCCAGGATGTCGGGCAGGAACTCCGTATAGTAGGAGTCGTCCCGGGAGCAGACCAGGTAGTAGAGGAAGTTCATCATTTGACTGGAATCCCCCCCTTCTGCCACAAGTGACCTCGCCATCATCCTCGCCTGGTAGTACCAGTGTGGGGGCCAATCTCCGAAGATCTCAGGTGGTTGGGCCAGTGGCATGGCCTGCATTGAGAGCAGGCTCCACGTGCCGACCTTGCCCCCAGAGTCCGCACTTGTACGCACACCGAGTAGTGCGTAGAGGGCCGCAAGCGTAATGCCGCGCATGAAGGGAGCCGTCAGGCAGCTCGTCATATGGAAAATCGGAGAGCACGAAGATCGCTATCCCTGTGGGCCTCGCTCGACCCAATGCTGAGGTCACCATGTCCGTGAGTGACCCGTGATGTGACGCATCCAGAAACCCTTTGTAAACCCTTTGTACTTGCCTGTAGTCGTAGGAGCCGTGGTTGTGCTCCACATGCTGAAAGCACCCTCATAGTGTAAAACCCTTTGCCAATTTGTCAAGTTGTCCGATCCTCTTACAGACCAGTCCCTATACGGTGAAACCCTTGTAGATTGTTAGGCCGTCGTTGTCATACTCTGTTGTTCGAGTGTACCAAGTCGTGGAAATCCTTGCATGCTGGGCGAGCAAGTTCAAAACCAGTAGTTAGGATCTCATACATCAAGCCCGGGATTGCTCAGAGATTGCTGGTCAGGCACAGCCACTGCCATACCTTCATCACGCCACCCCGAAGCCTAGTCTCCCAAACTCAACTGCCTTCCGGAAGACCAAGGGAGATCCTGTTGTTGTAACCATCTTCGCCCCGCATCAGCCCACTTAACCCTGTCTCTCGCCACTTCCCTCCAGGGTCCCAGGCATGCTTCGTCCATGGAGATCTCCAGGCTCGTAAGGCGGGCATAAAGTTTGCCCGGATGGCGGAGCCCGACTCCTTCGGGCAAGGCTTGCTGTTCGCGCCACCATTGAAGGGTCCGAAAACGGTCGATTCTGGATGAGATGGGCGGCTGGTCTCTGAAGCATGCCCGCTCCCTGTGTCCTGAAAAACCCCACCATCTGGTAAGCCAAGTCGTCGACCACCTGTGAACTCCTGCTTTGCATAAGACTGCCCTCGATGCCCTCACTGAACGCCTTCTGAAGTCCGGCCAACTCTCCCCCACACCCTTCGCATGCCGCATTAGCCACCCAGGAGCATTGCTTGGAAGCTGTTAACCAATCCCAAGGCATGCCGATCAGGAGGGATAGCCCCCAAGCACCACATCAAAGAGTTGGTAACGACCCTGTCCATCAGGCAAACTCTTCCACTCACTGGTGTTCTGCGCCTAAGTAGGTGCTTAATGGACCAGAACTTGTTTCGTGCTCTTGTAAGCAGGGGTTGCAGGAACTGGCACACGGTCATGCCCACCTTCATGTCAAGGCCCAGCACTGTGATAAAACCCTGATCCAACAACTGGTGGTCACCCAACTGTATAGCCCTGGTCTTACCACTGTAAGGGGAGCAGTAAAGCTTGCACTTCTTGTAGTTGAGAAGCAACCCGTACTCTGCAAGGACCGTTGCGAACTCCTGAAGTTTCCTCCGCAAGCTCTCAACATCCCTGGCCCAGAGTAATCCATCATCCATGAAAAGGGAGTCTTCGCAGGGGAAATCGGGGAAGAGGGTTGGTCTGTCATTCCAACGATAGCGGCTCGCGGCCTCATTTAACGCCTGCTCCATTACATACGAGAAGAGGAGTGGCGATTCGGTCGCCCCCTGCTTGATACCGCTACACATTTTGAAGGTAGACGCGCCCCACACCGTTTGTAATGTTGCCTCGGTGCTGCATAGCAAGTTTCGCAGGCATCTGCATTCAGGAGTATCTCCCAACAACTGCTCCAGTTTGTTTATAAGCTTGCTCCTGCTGAGCGAGTCAAACGCTTTGGAGACGTCAATCTGAGATATCACAAGCCCTTGTTTCCACTCTTTCTCTAATTGCAGCAAACGCCATATTGCAAAGATGACATCAGAGCATTGTCGTTGCCCTCCGGCACATTGGGCGTGACTCGTATAGGCGAAGTGGTGTGATACCCTGTTGAGCACTAGTCGGGAGAAAAGCTTCGAAGCCGAGCTTCCCAAGGCAATCGGTCTCAAATCTGTAGGGGCAGCGGGCTGGTCAAGTTTTGGGAGGACGATCAACAATGGCTGATTCCATGCTGGCGGGATCTTCTGCGTGCATAATACACGGTTCATAAATTCAAGTAGATGACATTGCCCACCTTCGGTATTGACCACCCCCTGGAGGAGTTCTTTCGATGTGAGGTCACGTCCGACTGACTTACCACCCTTCAACTGGGCCAGCGCTGTTCGGAGTTCATCAACCGTGAATGCCTGAACCTCCTGAGCCGGGTTATACTTCGGCTCAATGTCCTGCCCCTTATAAAGTGCACTGAGGTGATCATGTACTGTGGCATGGGGGTCCCTAGATTGCAGATCCGCATACTCGATCTCCCAGCCCTGCTTGGTGGCCACCTTGCTCTGCTGAAAAGCTTTCCAGTCGCCCTGTAAAGCCCTGTCCTGACGAGCTCTCTCCCACTCCTGACGTGCCGCACGGCGAGAAGCGAGGGCCCGCTTCCAGGCCTCCCGGGTCTTTGACGTCTTGGCCTGCTGAAACATCTGAACGACATGCTTCGGGTCTTTGTAAGCCATAGACCTCCTGGGTTTCGTACATGTCCGAGCCAAACCCTCCAATACATCTTGGTCAATGTGTTCAATCTTGGCCGGGCCACCTACCCAGACTCGGGGCTTGGTTTGACATCTCGCAACCACCTTGCCCTTGACAACTTTAAAGACACCCTGGAGCAGCTCATGGTCCGTTCCTATTGCGTAGCATGAGTCCCTGTGCACGATCATCCCCTCATGTCTCAACCGAGAAGTTGCGAACAGGTCAATCTGTTTGCCTTCACGACCCTCCTGTCTAGGCCTCGACGTGGGTAAGTTCACATAGGGGGACCTCGGCGGCACCAAGGAGAGCTCGTGCTTGGCAAACCTGTCCAAAAGGAGCAAGGCCTTGGCATCTTTCCCTGACGGCTGCATGGTGCCTTCTGTTTCGGTCCAGCCCAAAACCGCATTGGCATCCCCTTGCACAACAACTCTGTTCTTACCCGCGGGTTTTTTCCGGAGGAAAGCATCCACCTGAGAAGCGAAGCAATCAACTGTACACCCCGGAGTAAAATGAAAGGTCGCAACCCACAGCTCGAAACCATCACAAAGTCGGCGGAGTTTGAACCAGGATCCCTTGCCTGCAGGTACCCTACGAATGATGGCCCAAGCATCTTTGCAGAACATTACCCCCGTCCCTCTCCACTGATCTTTGTGTTGGTAGGAGCAAACTGTCCAGGAGTCCTGGTGCCACGTACTCCATCCATCCCGACCCCTTGGTACTTCCTGAAGTAGAAAAAGCTGATTCGTGTGTAATGGTTGCCCAATCGAAAGGCGGGCTGCTTCCGTGAGATTTCCCAGTTCAGCACCTCCAACGTTCCATCCCAGCACGGAGAACTCTTGTTCTGCACGCATGTGAGGCAGTGTCAAGTTCTGACCCCGGGACCCTTGCAACGTACTCAAATTCATTCTCCCGCGCATGACCCTGGTATTCACAGTCTTGTCGCCAGAGAGGATGCCCGACCCTTTGAAGGTAGCATCGTGAAAAGAACCTTTGATCCCATGCACCGTTTGAGATCTCGCAGAAACATCCGCAGAACCCCATTGGGCAAACGAATTCGCACTCCGTGTCAGTCGCTCCACATCTTCTTGGCAAACATGAAGCAACCCCAGGAGCTCACTAAAATCCGGTTCCTGTCACCGGCGGTTGGCATCTAGTGCCCCTTTGAGCTTGTCAACCGGGTGCCCTGACTCCCTTGCCATTGCTCCCAAGTCGACCCACTGTGGCCCCGCATCATCCGAGGAGACTGTGATCATCTCGTGTGAGTTCGCCCCATTTTCCGGCTGCCTGGTAACGCTAGCTATCAGGCTCTCTCCAAGCCATGCCGATCCCGTACTGTACTCCAGGTCCACTGATCGTGCCAAGTCATCGGAGATCGCCCCAAGAGACCGCTTGATCCAGGAGCAGTGCCCCCCCATTTGGCGCTCTGCCCTCGTCTTGCTGTATGAGCACCAAAGCTTCTTACCTGCCGAGGTGCGAGCATCTGCAGAGTTGATAGTAGTGAGCACTCGGTGCATTCTGGCTTTCCTAGTGGAGTCCGATTCTTGTAGGCGAAGAGGCATGTTGAGCAGCGCCAGAGACCTTCGGGGCCCTGTGGTGAAGGCCGATTCATCCACCGACGTGGTCAGGCCCAACTTTGTGATCGCTTCAGTGATCTCCGTAACGATCGTCTGGCGTCGAGTATCCCTCCCCCAACCTCCGAACACCAGGGTCTGACGTCTGCGCTCCTCATCGGCCCTGGCAGCTGGCGGCCCTCGCGTCATAAGAGACTCGAGCTTAGCCAAACGCTCCTGAACCGCATCCACCGTGGATGCAAGTCCCTTCGTCGCCTCCTCCATACCGGCCATGCGGGCATTCTGTCGTTCTTCCAGGGCAGTCACCAAACTCTCCGAATGGCTGTTGTTGGCCTGAAGAATTTTCCCAGCCTGCTCATCCAGCAGAAAACGAAGATCCTTGAGGGTGATGTTTGCCAAGCTAACCGACTCATCCGCAAGGGTATCATCATGCTTGACACCCCTCTTGGCTTTATTGACCCCACTGGCTTTGTGTTCACTCCCTCGCTTCTTGGCGGGGCTATCCCCTTCAAGATCCGGGTCAAATTCAGGGACGTTCAAGCCCGGCACCCCCAACTGCATCCCCAACTGCAGACCGGCAGACATGGCCCACGCCAGCTACCCCTCGGCCTTGCACACCTCAGTCACCAGGGCGGTACCTCGGCCTTGAGCCAAAATGGCTTGAGCCAAAATGGCTACGGCTTAGGGTTTAGGATTTAAGGTTAGGGTTTAGGGGCTCCTAGGTTTTAGGAATTATTGGGGTGGCGTTGGAGGGGTTTGACCATGCAGGTGCCACAGGATCTGTAAACTCATGTGAAGTAGGGCTCGGGTTCAGGGGAGTTTAGGGACGAAGGCATTGGAGAGTGTACATAGCCTTTTGGAGACAACTGGTCCGACCTTTCGGTTGCTTTTAAGGCCTGGGTTTTGTTTGCAGCTTTTTGGTTGGAAGGGTGGCAGAAAAGGGAGGTAGGGGCTTTCAGCGATGAAGCCCTCTGACCCTCGGCCTCCCAATGCTCCCCATACTGCAGGGACTCGAGTTGCTCCTCCTGGCGACAGGTGGGGGTTCTAGAAGTGTAGGGATTAGAAATCTTTATGGTTCAGAGTAAAACGGATGTGCTCTAAAACTGTACGTCATCATGCCCCCGCCCCATCCCCCGCACCCCATCCCCCCGATGCCGGAAGCAGCAACGGTGCTTAAAATACTGATAATGCAACGGCTACCGCGACCGCGACCGCTAGCGCTGACTCCTCCCCCTCCTCCTCGTAGTAGGTCGTAGTAAAGTAGTAGTAGCAGTAGTAGTAGCAGTAGTAGTAGTAGTAGTAGTAGTAGTAGTAGTAGTAGTAGTAGTCGTCGTCGTAGTAGTAGTACTTGTAGTAGTAGTTGTTGTAGTTGTTGTAGTTGTTGTTGTAGTTGTAGTCGAGGAGGAGGAGGAGGAGGAGGAGGAGGAGGAGGAGGAGGAGGAGGAGGAGGAGGAGGAGGAGGAGGAGGAGGAGGAGGAGGAGTGCCCTCGAGTTTCAAGGTGCACGTAAAACTGTAGAATGCCGCCACTGCATCCCCAAAACTTCCGCCAAAAGCTAATGCTTCTGTCGGGCAACACGCTAACGTGAATGGCCGCCTGCAAGCGCAGGTGCTGCAGCTCTCGGTGCCGAAGCAGCTCCAGCTGCCGCAGCTGCTCTTGCATTCCGCCTCATTGCTCGTTTGGAGTCAGCACCCATGGTCTTTCGCTCAAGGTTGACATGTTTCACGCAGCTGGAGGTTTAGGTTTGCGGCTTCGATCGCGAAGCTTGTGCGACCAAAGACACAGGCTTGCTCTGCAAGCAAACACCATGACGAAAGGCCTTGCTCAGGCTATTGTCGCGGCTCCGACTGCAAATCCAACGAAACATCGAACCTGCGAATCCTAAATCCATTCCCTCCGCCCCAGACCTGCTGATTGGAAATGAGCCTCGCACCATCATGAGTCACGCGCCGACCGGCAGCGTCGTTGAGCTGGATCGGAACAGTCGTTGTGCGCTTTAGGCTTGCAGGTGTATTACCATTATATTCATTACCAATACTATTCAGTACTCGCTCTGTGCTCGGTATACTACCATTATATACATTACTAGTATTAGTAAGTACTAGCTCTGTTCTTATACTTATCATGCCTTGCTGTCACTGTCAAATCTGGATTCTAGATCTGGGCAGGTGTCCATCTTCCTGTCACTTCTCCTCCTAGCAGACGTCACTGTCGTTTAGCAAATTTTAAGTGAACTATATACCATATCATCTGTGAGCATGTTACAGCATATTATAGCACATTACAGCATTGGCATACTATTGTATGTTAGAATACATTATGGCTGACGGATGAAGATAGTACACGTACACTTCGATCCCCAGACCCCAAGCCGTGAGCTTTGCAAACACAAGTCTCAGTCACGCACCATATCTACGAAAGCATGACACTCACTGAAATAGCGTAGTAGTGTAGGGGCCTCAACGGTTACAAAATCCTGTTCCTTAGGTCCTTTGTTAAGATACGGTACAACTTACCTCAAAACTCTAATCTAATCAATGCGGCTCCTAAAACATTTAGTTCTGGCACCTTGAAACACAAAAACCTTGGGCCTGAACACCGCGAGGAGAAGACTTCAGTATTTAGTTTCAGCATAGATATGCCCAAATTAGAATATGATCCTAAGAAAGCCCCATGTGTCCGACAAAGACCTGCCTCTTTCCGCAGGTTGGCAATCTGATCCTCAGGTTGTCTTCTCGCATGTGGGGCTTAGGCTCGGGGCTCATGGAGATTTAGACTTAATATAGGGGGCATAGTAATTAGAATTGGGTTTTGGGGCCCGTTATACTATACTTGATTTAAACTTAGGGTTCAGCGGGTTGGAGGAGCTCGACCTCACAGCGCATGATTCGCAGACTGAACATTGCACCGGTGCTGCCGAGCGCTAGATGTCCGTGTATGCTAGTACACCCTGAACCCTATACCCGAAACCGTAAACGGAAACTGTCAGATTTCTGCCATCGAAATACTTCGTACGCCCCCTCGACTGAACTAACTATTCTTTTCGGCTGTCGTTCGTCTGCAGCAATCCTAGACCCTAAACCCCAAAACCCCAAACGATTCACCACTGATACAGCAGCTTGAGATTGACGGCATGTAACGGACTCGCACTCCCATGTAAGAGGCCAAGATGACTCAGTTCATTTACTCTAAAAGCACCTATAGTACTCCTGCCATTGATACCAAACTTCAAAGTCTCTTATGAGGGAAATCTCATCAAGTCTAGCAAGGCCCTTGTATGAAAGAGGGGAACCCCCAATCCCGGGACAAAGAGAGGAATCCACTTCAAGGGCTGGACGAGCGTCTGCCCCTGAATTCCCCAAGCAACGACCACTGTTCAGGGTACCTAGGGAAGACCCCCAGTCCAGCCATGGAGGTAACCCTTGTATAGTTGAAGGGCATCGGCCTCTCTGCGATCAGCCCTGAACTTACACTTCCCGCTAAAGCCTCAAACCTGAATGCGTATCGGCTCAGCCCTTTGATCCTTGATTCAGTCTACTGTGTCAAACGCTCTGAAGTGTGTCAAGTTTGTTCTACACAGATGAACCCTGACCCCTGCACCCTGAACGCTAAACCCTGAACCCTTGCCCCTATACCCTGAACCCTGAGCCCTGAACCTTAAACCCTACACCACATAAGCCCTAAAGACGAAACAGAGATACCCAGAGAGCCCAATACCCCTTGATTAAGGAATACACCTCAAAATACAAGCTGCCTTCATACTATGATTTAAGGTATATTCCTTGATTAAGGGGTCTTGGGTTCTCTGGATAACCCAACTTGAAGGATCATGGGACTTAGTAATTAGGGTTATAAGTAGGGTGACTATAGTCACACTTACTTGTCACCCCAGTTAGGGTACTTCTAACCTTACTTACTAATTCCCGCGATCCTCCAAGTAGACCCTAAACCCTAAACTAAACCCTACAGATCCCCTTTTAAGGAACCCTATAGATCCCTTCAAGGAGGGCTCTGGCCTTGAGGTCTTGCTGCATTTGCCCAAACTGGGCTTGTCGCTCCCCGACCTCCCAAAACGGCCGACACGGCTTCAGGGCTTTAAATGAGCTCTTCTAAAGGGATTTAGTTTAAGGTACCATGATAAGCATATTTAGTTTAAGGTACCATGAGCAGTATTGAGCTCTTCTTAAGGGATTTAGTTTTAAGGTACCATGATAAGGACACCATATTATCTACTATAGACCCCTATTCTGGAACCCAGTTTAGGACTTTATGGAGTATTTTTCCACGGCTTCAGGTTTTAGGTTCTAGGATCCAGGGTTTGGGGTTTAAGGCATTTTGGGATCTCGGGTCCGGATTAGGATTTAGCGCTTGGGGCTTTAAAGCTTTCGGGCTTTACCAGGTCGCGGGTCTCAGGTCAGGGCTTAGGACTTTACCTTCAGGGCACTCGGAGCTCGTTTCGGAATGTGGCTGTAGGGTTTAGGGTGTAGGGTTCACGGTTTAGGGGTTTAGGGTTTAGGGGTTTGGGGAGTTGGCAGGCTTTGGGGCTGGCTCTTTCTTGGGGGTCGTGGGACCATGACCTGGTAGGGTTACAAATCAAGGAAGCTATGGCTGTAATTTCTTGAAGCCCCAACTCAGGAAATTATAACCTTGCTTACCAAGTCACATGATCCTCCAAGCAACGTGTGGAGTTTAGTGATTGTGCCGGGGCTCGCGGCTGTAGGGCTTTACGGCGTTGGGCTGTGTTGGATTGCTTTACCCTGCATAAAACGAGCCACATGCCGTTCTGCAGGCCCGGCCCTTACAGAATGGAATAGGGTTTTGGCGATGTGCTGTAGTATAACTACCTGGAGGAACCCTCAGGACCAGTAGTTTTCATTGCTTAGGCTTCTGTATTTCCCTTAATCCGAGCAGATTTCCTCAGCAACTCAAACAAGCCGAGGCCCCTAACCCTAAACCCAAACTCTACCAAATGCAACCCCCTCAGTCCTAAGCCCGAAACTGTTCATACAGGGACTTATACAATTAGAATAGGGTTTTGGGGCCCACTCTACTATAGTTATAATAAGGAACCGCCAAAATTATACATATTTAATGATGAAGGCCCCTACATTAAATCCTAAACCCAAAACCGTTAGCCGTTAGCCCCTAACCTTCGGGTTGCCCTGGCCCAGAGATCCCAATACCCCTTAATGAAGGGATATACCTTAAACCATAAAATCAAGGCCCCTATAATTTAAGGTATATTCCTCAATTAAGGGGGTATTAGAATTCCCTAAACCCTAAACCCTAAAGACCCCTTAAAGGATCCCCTTAACGGAACCCTTAAGGACTTAAGGATCCCTTTAAAGGAACCCCCAGGTATTCCTTGGTTAAAGCGTATTGGGGGATCTCCGAGGGCCTCGTGGCGCAGCCCCGCCACGCGCACTTCGGCAGCGCGGCATCGAGCTGTGAGCTCCTGGAAGCTTTGGCCATGCTTGGAGGATCATGGGACTTAGTACTCAGGGTTTCGGGTCCCTTTAAGGGGTATATAGGGGGTACTATAAGGGTTTAGGGTTTAGGGCGTAGGGTACTTGGAGGATCATGGGACTTAGTAACTCGGGTTGTAAGTAAGGTAGCTATCGTTAAGATTACTTATAACCCCAATTGAGGTACTTATAACCTTACTTACTAAGTCCCATGATCCTCTATGTGGGTCTGTGGGTTTTGGCTGTGGGTTTAAGGTTCAGGTTTAGGGGTATTTAGGGCTTAATTGGGGCTCTAGAAGGCTCAGGGTTTAGGGCTTAGGAGCTTAGGGCTTAGTTAGGGCTCTAGAAGGTTCAGGGTTTAGGTTTTAGGAGTTTAGGGCTTAGTTGTAGAAGCTTTAGGGTTAAAGGTTTAGGGTGTCATTAGCCCTTACAGCATGCTGTGGAGAAGTTGAGCTACTGGGATCGTCTCGGATGCTTAAAGAAGACAGCCTCGGAAAACCACGCCAATCCCAACGGCCGCAAAATCCCCTCCTTTCGATTTCAGGAAGTCAAACCCTCCACTCAAAACGACCCTCAACATCCCTCAACCCCAAAAATGCCTTAAGAAGACCCTCCCCCGGCAGAGCGGAGGCAGAGGTTTTTGTCTTTCCTTTTCTTTGCATCCCTAGTCTCTGGCAGCGGCACCAAAGCTCTCCGACCTGATTCACAGGCACTTGAGGGGCTCAATCTCTCTCTCTCTCTCTCTCTCTCTCTACATATATATATATATATATACACATGTAGGTATATACTATTTTTATAAAGATATATATATATATGTATATGTGTGTAGATATGGTTCGTGTCGTCGGGGCTTGCGGCTTACGATGACAAGAAACGGTTCCGTAAGAGAAGGGATTTTTTCAGATCATTCTAAGAGCGAGCAGGGTTTTGAAGGGTCTCGGGGTCTTGTTGGTAAGGCCCTTGCGAGGGCTTCGGAGGCTTGGGGTGAAAGCCCACAAATCCCATAGAGGTTTGTGACTCAAGGGTTTGGAGTCCGGGGCTTCGGTTTTACCCTCAAAGGGTTCAGGGGTGCTGTGGGGTTTGTGCTTTGGGTATTCAGGGTTGAGAGCTGTAAGGCTCTGTCTCGGAAAGGCTTTAAGACTTAGCTCACTTGGTTTAAGGGCCTCGGGTTTACTTTTCAGAGCTTAGTAGAAGGTCCAAAGATTTGGGGTTTAGAGTTGAGGATTTCGGGTTGAGGGATTTTTTAAGAGCTTCTTAAAGTTTAGGTGCAAGGTAACCGGAACTATCAACCACTCAGTCAGCCCAAGGCATTCCTTGACCAAGGAGTATTTATTCTGAATCAGAACGGGAAGCCATATATATATATATATAATGTCTGAAAGCCCCATACCTGGCTTTCCAAAGCACCGAGAAGAGAAGAACGTTGAACACTCACGAAACCTTATAGCTGAAACTCAAACAAAGCCCTATAAGACCCCAACCCCGACTATACCGCATACCCAGAGATGTTTGCAACAGACAGTCTGAGGGAACGGCTGTCTGGTCGTCCGTGTCCCGGAACCCGGCAGTCAGTCTCCCGGCACCCAAGCGGCCAGCAACTGGTTTATCCGCTTCTCCTTGGAAGGTATCAGGGTTTAGACGTTGGGGTGTTCGGCTTCTCCTTGGAGCTTGTTGGGGGAGCTAATGGCAAGAATAGGGTTTAAGGGGTTTATGAAACTGCAATTACATAGGGACTCGAAAAGCCGGGGTATGTTATACTACAACTATACAGGTGCCCTGTGCTGGGATCTGACTTTCACGACCATCGAGAAGGATCCAGAATCCCAGCCGTGCAGAGGATTTCGGGTGTACGGTTTGGCATCTCGGTTTTAGAGGTTGGGGTTTGGCGTTTAGGGTGTGCAACAGGAAGAACAAGACAATACAGTTGAGTCTTGCCTCTGGGCGGTGGCTTCTGACGCACAACGGATCACCTGGGGTTGCTAATATAGGGCCTTAATAATGAGGACATGGTTTTGGGGGGCCCTTATACTATAACTACAATAAGGTAATCATTATGGCCTCTACATCGCAGCCCCCCAGGTCTCGAGTCACAGCCTCACCTTCGCACAAACACCGTTGATGTCTGCGGGAAAGCCTTAGGACTCTCGTGTTTTAGGGCCCAACCCACAAGTTCCTTCAACAGGAAGTGCTTCGGGATTGCGGTGCAGGGTTCCGAGCCTGGCAGGTTTATGTCCCAAAACCCTTGGCAGACCCCATAAACTCCCCGAAACCCACGGAAGCCCCCTCTGATAAGACGGAGCTACAAGAGCTTCCAGCTCGGAGGCGCCGGGGTCGTTGGGTACCTGCCGTTTCGGGCTCACGGATTGGGGGAAACTCGGGATGCCGCAGGCCCAGAACCTTGAATCAAAGGGGCAAAGGAGGGACCCTTAATGGGGACCCTTGGCCTATAGTGGGCTATATAATGGGTATATAACAGCATATACCTAGGGGTCCTTATAGAGGGTCCATCCTTTTACCCTTGGATTGAACCAACCCCACACTCAAGGCAAACAACAAGCCCGCTTCGGTGCTGAAGAGACTATCCTTGATGACCGAACAGGGGTTCCCATGAAAGGGCTCCTGCAAGGGTTTAGGGTTCCGGGTGTAGTTGTTAGGTTTTGAAGCATAGGGGCATACGGGGTCGGGCTTCGACGCACGTGTCGGGTCGAGAATACTTTCTGCCGCCAGCCGTTGATTGAAAATGTCCATGAAAACAGCTCTGCCGGGCGGCCGGGGGCATTTCAGCACTAAACATGGAGCCCAGAGACTCCAAAACCCCTCAATTACGCAACACATCTTCTAGGGTGTCGGATTTAGAGCAAAACCCTTAATCCAGCGGTAGTTTGGAGTCTCCGGAAAGGTGCACTCAGCCCGGCCAAGCCGCTAAGTTTTGGAAGGATCCTTCTGAAGAGTTTGATAAGGTTTTTGGAAGCCTTTAGGGCTTCATACAAGCCTTCTGAGCCATTGAGCAACTGGGAACCTGATGGAACTTTTGCCACGGAGGTATCGCAAACAGTATCCCGGCACAAAGCATCTTTATCAACTCCCCAACTTTTCAACACCCTCAACCCTGCACCCCAAGGCTAAACCGCAACCAATCTCCACAGAACACCAGCAGCCGGGGCTCTGGGGCGAGTTTGCACCTTTAATTAGTGCCCACACTTGTCGATGAACTCTTCAGATTCCTCTTGACACATGATACAAAACTACATACTCTTAGAAGCATGCTAAACACAATGCAATGAAAAGTCCTATGCAATGTAATACTTTGTCATATATATATATATATATATATGTGTGTATATATACATATATATATGTATATATGTATATATGTATGTATGTATATATATATATATATATATATATGTGTGTGTGTGTTATGCATAGATGCACCTAACCTTATGTATGCATGTATATTGTCTATGCATATATGCATACATGCATATGAACATGTATACACACATACAGAGGTACATACATACCTATACATATGTATATACATACATATTCACATTTAGACATGGTGCACACATTATACATATTCTTCATATTCTACAAACTCTGCATATTATACATATTATGCGTATTATGTGTATTATACATACTATACATATTATACGTATTATACATATTATACATATTATACATATTATACATATTAGACGTATTATACATATTACACATATTATACATATTACACATAGTATATCTAGTATACATATTATACATGTTATACATATGACACGCATTATATACATATATCTATATAGATATTAGATACAGCATAAATGAGTTTGGTGGTGGAGGCTTGTGGCTTGGGCTTTGAGATTCGGGACGGTTGGGGGCTTGATTTTTGCCCTTTGGATTCATAGTGCATGTTTACATAGGTATAAAACTAGAGCCTTTGTATTGAAAGGGTTTGGGGCTGGGGGTGCATTTTGGCATAGTAAGATGGGGGCGGGAAGAAAACAGTATTATATGAGACATAATGCCAGCACTAGATTGCACTTTCTCAATATGACATCATATAGCATAAAGGAATGAAATGGTATAGCATAGACTACAGAATAGAATGGAATAGAATGTAATCTTCGGCCACCAGGTTCTTCATTCCGAGCTCAGCGCTCTCTCGACTAGGATTTAGGGTTGGGAGGAGGACTTGCCACGATTGATACCACTGGATGTCGGTCGTTGTCCTACATCGCGGTACCATTTCAGAAGCCTAAAAGTGCAGAACAAAGCAACAATTGCAGCAGCGGCTGAGCAGATGTTTGACCCCTCGGCGTTGCACACAGAGCTCTCTAGGTTTGAACCGGTAGCAAGAGTTCGGTTAGTGAGAGCAGCAGGGGCGGGCGGCAGCAGTAGCAGAAAGTACAACCACGGCGCTACAATACACAAAGAGCTGGCAGCAACCTTCCTTCATCGCTGAGGAATCTGGAGGATCCATGGATACGGGATACCGGGTCGTCCAGAACTTGGCGACTCCCTTACCTCCTGGCCCGGAGATGCAACCGCCTCGAAGCCAGGCACCCTTGCCTACACAATGTAAGGCAGCCGCTGCAACCGACAAGGGGATGCAGCCTGGCAAGAGAGCAAGAGATCGCGGCCTACGGAAGATACCCGAATCAACATCGCCCCGTGGTGCTCCGACCAAAGACAATCATACAATCATCCACGCAATCATGATTTGCGCTGCTCGATCACCAATGCCATCATCGGGACCAGCAACACCATCATTATCACCGTTGCCATCATCGTTGCCATCACAATCGACACCACTAACGACATTCTCGTCATACCGATTAACTGGCACGTCGGGCATGCACGGGGACAGCTCTCTGGAGGCGGAAGCAGCAACATGGAGACGGTGACGGTGAGGGTGACGCTGACGGTAATGGTGACGACGATGATGACGATGATGATGATGATGTTGTTGGGGACGACG